CACACAAATGAAAACGCACAGAATGAACACCGAATTCGAGCCAATGATGACGATGTAGCGTGCATCGTTGCTTTTCTTTTGTTTATTCTTCCGATACCATATATCTTGACACCGAATGCACCATGCCAAGGGAAAGGATCGAACCTTCTGATCTCTGACTGTAATCAGATGCATAGAACCACTACGCCATCCCCGGCTTTTACAGTTGAATTACAATAGCCTATCAAGTACTATTTAGAAATCATATGACTAGATGTTTTTTGTCATTTCTGACTCCTTATCTTTGTAATAAATCTAAAATGGTCTCTATATTTGCGAAAAACCTTTCGAATTGTTTAAATTGGCATTTTCTTTAACCCTCAAACGCCTACCTGTAGTTTGCCTAAATTTCAGTCGATTTTAGTTAATCATGTTTGTACATAGTGTCTTGACCTTTATCTTTTCCACTCATGTCCTGTAAGAGACAACAAGCTACACTGCTATTATCAACTAATTTGATTTATTAACTGTGGATCCAAAAGCGGAGACAGCCAAATGTTTAGATGCCGCTTTATCCACTGGGGTCCGCACGGACCCCAGGTGGGCGTTTGAGGCTTAAAAAGCTGGGCTATTCCTTTTTATGACTAATAATTATAAGATCTCTAATACTTTTATAGAGGTAAAATGATAGAAAATTTTCAGTGACATTACCGTTGCACTTTCATATGTATGATCTCTAATATACTAAGTTCGTGAAAAAATATAATATTTAAAATACTTATTTTAACAAAAGTTTCTCATTTTCTTGAAATATTTTTTTCTTAAACTTATATTAAAATTCGCAATCAAACAAGTTTTAGTTTCATATCAATTCTTCGTATAAGCCGCAAGTGTGAAATATGTATGATAAGAATTTTAATACTCATACTCATACTCGAAAACTATCAGCATGAGGTTACTATTCCTTTTTTGATGACTGTATAATTGACATACTGAAGAAGAGATATATAAATAATCATTACTCATAGCTTATTTGTTCTAATAGATGAATTATTCGTCGAGAATCAAGTGTATCATAATATATTATCAAATCCTTGTGAATAATTTACATTTAATTCCTTATTCATTTTGGTTGAAATAATATGTTAAAGACTTAACGATCAGGGTACTCATTTTTACAATTTGCTACAAAATCAAATAATCTTTGAATATATATCTTCATGTTCTATTCTACATACAAATTGATCTAATATTTAAAATGGTATTTGTTTAATTAGATTCTATCAAAACTGTGAAACAAAGAGATTCTATTAATGAAACTTGGTCAACTTTCTCAAGAGCTTACAAGAAAATTATTTCAAGTAACATTTACTACTTAAGCTTACATTGCACTCATAGGTAAGTCTCAATTAAACTAGTCAGTTTCTATATAATTTGTTCCTGCCAATTTCTAGGTACTTCTTGAAAAACCTGCTAACAAAGTTTTGATTGAAAATTCTACACATAATTTGTATCATCGAGATCTTCTTTCAAACTCAATATGAGGTCAAAGAACGATTGTCATGTGTAGTTATTTCCTCCTTAGCACTTTAATACATTTTGAGAAAATAGAGCTTTTTTTTCATGTAAATAGTTGTTTTCTTTTTCTTTCTAAAATAATTTACTAGGGAGTGTTGATCACATGTATTTTAAACAAGTCATTAAGGTATTCATCTATGATCAAATAATGTAGGCATACGTGATGATACAGTGAATTTTATTGCACATAGAAACATACGAAAGTAGTTTAATTTTAATTTAGCAATTATACGAGTACTAAATGATAAGTTATGCATCGAAGTTTATATGATAGATGCAAATAAAAAACAAAAAAGTTTATAGCAATTTTTAAAATAATCCTTGAATCTTTATTTGATTCAAAATATATTGATCTACTTGAGGAAAATTTATCTGACCGAAATAATTATTTATTAACATCACTAATACGGCTTAAACTTTATTATATGTCACCAGATATTGAAGAACAACTTGCTGCATTAGGTTATGGTGATACAATGGGACATGTATTTTTGATGACGAAGGATGACATAGTTCTTATCGATATCGATAGATTTATTCAAAACATAATAGCCGATTGTAACTATTTAAATTAATATTAATCAATTCATAGTTCTCATCGTTTCTCTTATAGAAGGAAAATTCGTAAACTATTAACTGATCGTACAGATGATGTTGATACTGATCATATAGTGATTCAGATTTTGAAGCAGATCAACGTTCTGGAAGATCTCCTGGACCTACTAATGAACATGAAAAGATAAGAAAGCAAAATAATGATATACAATGACGAGGGTTGGTGTGGGTATGAATGAAGAGAGTAGAATTAACCGTACTTGCACCGACACCCACACCCACATACCTCACACCAAGGGAGAAACAGCTGATATTTTTGATTTAAATCAGAAAAATCAAATGTAACTAATAAATCTTTAATCCCTATTGTTCAAAACATCACTTTACAGTGGAACAGCTAAAATCAGATTTTCTTGATTCCTGTGATTTCTTTGATTTTTCTGATTTCTTTATTTAAAATCAGTTAGTTTTAAATTAGAAAAATCAAGAGGAAAATCAAAAAAAGTCAAAAAAATTAAGAAAATCAAAAAATTAAAAAAAATCTCATTTCAACTGTTTCCTCATTGCCCCAAACTCACACCCTTATTTTCAGATGGCCATAATTTTATTTAAATGGATTAAATAATAAAGAGCTATTTAAATAAAGAAAAAAAGCATGTCAATTTTTTTTAAATAGCTGAGTTTCTTTAAATAGAACACAGTTTTATTAAAAATGGTCTCTTTTGAGAAGCTAAGGATTGAATATAAGAACAGAGTAAGATTGCTAATCATTAGATGGTGCCACATCCGAACGAGTAATTACAACGTGAACATCTTGAAATTTGTCATTTTCAAGATGCTCGCCAGCGCCTTGGAAATGATGCGTGTATCCCTCAAGCGTATCTGGCTCTATTTCTATTTCGAGTATAGCAATATCTTTTCGACCATCTGGCATGATTCTTGGTATTTTCAGGACCTTTGTAGCACCTATATGAAGCTCGTGTGATGTTGCTGGAAGAAAACGCTGAACAGTTGCTGGTTTTCCATTCACCATCTTTGAAGTAAATTTATAGTTTGTATATGGTTTACTATTTGTTTGAACCGTAGTTGGTGATTGATTATGTATCGGAGCGGTACAGGATTGCTGTTGCTGATGTGGTTTCACATCCGAACAAGCAAGTACAACGTGAACATCTTGAAATTTGTTATTTTCAAGATACTCGCCAGCGCCTTGGAAATGATACGTGTATCCCTCAAGCGTATTTGGCTCTATTTCTATTTCGAGTATGGCAGTATCTTTTCTACCATCTGGCATGATTCTTGGCACTTCCAGGACCTTCGTAGCACCAACATGAAGCTCATGTGATGTTACTGGAAAAAAACGCTGAATAATTGCTGGTTTTCCATTCACTATCTTTGAAGTAAATTTATGGTTTACAGATGGCAACGATGGCATTGGTTCGGCTAAAGGAAAAAGTCTATTTATTGATAATTTCAGATTTATTGTTGATCTATCTGATGATTCTAGATTTAAATAAATGTTCAAGCCTCTGATTTAAATCTGAGGGTTATGTGTACTTCAAAAAGTGAATTAGACAGATGAGCCTTCCTAGAATGTGTGGATATCAAAATTATTCTGGGAAACCTTTTTTATAAACACTTCAGTCCTAGTGGCTGCTGCTCATTCAATAGGATCTGAGAGCGAATACAGATCAGCTTTGAACTCTTCACCCTGATTTACCCTCAGAGAGTCGTTTTCCCTATAACTTGATTTCTATTGGTCACTGCTACACCAGTCAGATTTCGAAGAAAGTGGATTACAGATTCGAGTTCTTCGTTCCAGAAAACCTATAGGTATCATCTCTGTGATAGGAAGATAGAGTTCTCCTTATGGATCAATTAGAGCGTGGACAAAAATAGAACCAATATCCGTTTAAAAATTTTTACAATAGGTGAGTTAGTCTTCTTGTTTCTTTATATTTCATATATCATTTGGTAGCTCATAAAATTCTCTATTGACTGGTATATAATAGTTAAGGTTTTATTTGACTATGATAGGAAAAGTTGTTTACGAAAGCGGAGAGGGATCGTTTTTTGCATAGAAAGGCTTAGAGAAAAATGACTATTTTTGCAATAAACTACCAATGGTTCGACCAATCCTTCTCATCTTCGAACTCGACAGACACACTGGGTGATTTTAGAGTGTACTTACTTTTTGAGAATACAAAAAAAACAGAAGAAATTTTTGAAGAATTTTATAAATTCGACTTTGGTTTGAGTGTAGAATATTAAATGTGGCTGTGGATCTTCTTTAACTTTCACCTAAATCCATACCTAGGCCCTGTTTTGTGAAGAAAACTGTTCATGTATGCATGTGCATAAATATTCTATTCGCTAGATATTGTTCATCATGGAAAGGAATAAGAAAGCAGATCAGATAGCACTGACTATTCTGATGAATTGTAACTGTACGAAATTCTTTTATCGAACTGAAAATCATTATTGTTGCAGTTTATCTCAAATATTTTACTGGAATTTTAGCTTTTCGACCGTTCTCCATTATGATCAGTCTTGATTCGAACATACTCTAAATGCCAACTAAAGAATGATTCTTTGTAGAGAATCTAGAAAATATTCAGACTTGATGTTGCAGCATAAAACATACGTTACTACGTCTTTTTACAATCTATTTTAGTGATCTCACCTGCGCTTGTCCCAAGCAAATAAGTTTCACAGCCTGGCTTATGCTCTGATTCATAATAAAATGTGACAATGTATCTCTCTGGCAAAGGAAAATAAATAGATGCGAAAAAAAAAACTAAGTAAAACATTTTCAAACATGTGCAAATCATTCAGACGTAGAAAATATTTTCACATGGATCTGTCCATAGAAATCAGAGCTATCAGTCTGAAGTTTGAAGTTTTACTTTAGCCTTCTTGCTCGCTAGACCAAACTATGACTGGTGATCTGAAAACCATTCAGTGTAAAAGTTGCGTTAGAATTTTTTTTTTAGTTATAAATTTCGAAGACAGTAATTGACATCTTAAGTAATGCACTACATACAAACCCTTTAATTTGATTAGTGATTGGTCTTTTGATTTTAAATAATAAACGTATGTAATGAATAAACAAACACAAGATCCAATGTTTTTACTATTAATAAACCCAAGCAAAAAAAACTTATTGTAGGTACCTATGGTTTTATGAGAGCATTGCGTTGTGCAATCTAAAAAGAAAAGGTTTTTTACCGAGCCTCCGAGAAAAGTTCCGTAGATTTGAAAAAGCTTGCAAATGCATTCAAATGCTCAAAAAACAATTTTTCAGTTCTATGAAACCTTTAAAAGTTCTTCCCCTGGACACACGTGAAGAACTTTTTCCTGCGAAACCTTTTTTAAAGCTCCGTATAGCAAAAAAAGTTTTTGTTAAAAAAATACAAAATTTTAAAGGTTTCTTATTTTTTTTTACAAAACCTATTTTTGCTATACGGAGCTTTAAAAAAGGTTTCGCAGGTAAAAGGTTCTTTCTGCATGGCCAGGAGAAGAACCTTTAAAGTTTTCGTAGAACTGAAAAATTGTTTTTTGAGCATTTGAATGCATTTGCAAGCTTTTTCAAATCTACGGAACTTTTCTCGGAGGTTCGGTTAAAAACCGTTTTGTTTTTAGAGTGTGATTTTTTTGGGAAAACAGTGCTTTCAAAATACTTTGTATGATAAATGGAGTAGTATGCCTATCTATTTACGCAACGTCATTCAAAAATCTAGTCTCAATGTGTTGTCGTTGTTATAGATTATCTACAGACAAAGCTTAGATTCTTTTAATGCAAATATTTTGATAAAGAAATTTTTCATGAAAAAACTGCAAATAATAGTCAACAATTTTTTATATGATTCGATTTACTTTTTCAATTTTTAAACACGCTTCTCAGATAGTTTTTTTTATAAACACAACTTGCTTGTTATTAAAATAGTTTGAAGAACCTATCATGATTAATAAAACGCCATGTCTAATAAACTCAAATCAAAATAGGAAGAGAAAATAATAAAGAAGTCAATCTATCATCAAATTTCAAGAAAATGTCAAACTGATCTTACTTTTCAATGAGTTCTCTGAAGACGTGCTGGCTGATGATGCTAATGTTGCTGCTGATGTTGGTTCCGATGCTATTGATGAAGCTGATGCATTTGGTTTTGATACAACTGATGTAGTCTCTTGTTGATCCGATTGGCTGAATGGTGGTTTGACGAGTGTCATCGGTGGTGTAATTTCTTTTAATTCGATAATATGAAGTCCACCACCTGGGGTTAATTGACCGATCACTTGAAAGTACGAGCCGGGCATAAGTATAAATTCTTGTTCGACATTTTTGAAATATGAGTGTGCTGCGATCGATTTACCATTGATGCAATCAATCGAAAATAATGTTCGCAAACCTTCTTTTCCTAAGAATTGATTCGATTCAAGTACTTGCATGTCAGCTGTGCAAGAACTCACTCCCCACCAGGCAAACTCGGTGTTTACTCTATATTTTTCACTTAAATCGACATTTCGGATGCCGCGCCATACTCGTTTTTTTTCCGACGGTAGTTTGTAGAGTGCCGTAAGAAGTAATTTAAGATAACTAAACCACGGCTTGAGATCTTCACGATTTTCGGCACGTAACGATTCATTAAGTACTTGATATAGACTTGGACCATCGTCAAATTGCATGGTATACAAATGTATTGACGCTGACTCTTGTTGTGTTAATTTATCAACCTGATTTCGACAATTATGTAATGCTACTTTGACATTATCTTCGATTTCATGGAAAAATCCAGATACGAGCTGAATTGCTTCCATAAGTGAAACAAGTGGCTTACTTTGATATCCTTTTATCGGTGATAAAAGGCGATCAACAGGTTCATTGTAAACATCAGTGAAGCGAGAACGGTTGCCTACATTTGCGACTCTGGCCATGGATACTCCAGTTATATTCGATTATAATACAATCAAGGTTAATAATATCAGAAATAACAATGAAAACAAATCTAGAATAGACAAACAAAAATTAAATTAAAACTTTGGTACACTATATTTCTCTATCAAAAACAATTTTCAATGGGATGGTTACGAGTGTATGGATGTATGTGCATGAATCAGATTGTAAAATGAAAAGGATCCTCACACTCACACTAGCACACCCATATACAGAGTGGTGCAAAACCGTTACCCCTACCTGGTTTGATCTTAAGGTCAAATGATTTTATTACGTATTTTATACCAAATTGAAGCCTGTAAAAAGCTGCATTTATTGATACTAAATGGTATAGGTTGTGAAGACCTATTAATGTCGGACTTCCGAGATTTTTAGAAATTTGACACCTGTTTTGATGTAAAAAAGTAAAGTGCCAGTAATTCCAAGACAAAATCAAACGTTTTTCGTAGATATTTTTACATGGTTTGAGAGATCTCGACAAGCTCTACAAAACTAGATATTTCAAAAGTACTTCAAGCCATCTTTTTTATGATAAAAATTCAAAAAACTGCTCGAAAAATCCTAAAAAGTGTAAAGGAATTCATCTTTTTTTCATATGAAAAAAAAAATTTATTAATAACATTATTTTTTTCATTAGTTATGTTAGCTCATGCATTTTGAAATATGTTCATTCAATGTCGCATGAAAAGCTACATCGAATGAGCATATTTCGAATCGTCGGAGACAGCAAAAATAAAGAATAAAACTTAATTTTATTGAAAAATCGAGTATGTTACTTCCACATGGAAAAGAGTAAAGTTATGAAATATTTTTTGTGGTTCTTCAAGCAGTTTTTGCATTTTTACCTGAAAAAGATGGCTAAAAATATTTTTGAAATATCTAGTTTTGTAGAGCTCGTCGATATGTAACGAACCATATAAAAATATCTAGGAAAAGCGTCTTTTTTGTTTTGGAATTACTGGTACTTTACTTTTCTACATCAAAACAGGTGTCAAATTTCTAAAAATCTCGGAAGTTCGACATTAATAGGTCTTCACAATCTATACCATTTAGTATCAATAAATGCAACTTTTTACGGGCTTCAATTTGGTATAAAATACGTAATAAAATCATTTGACCTTAAGATCAAACTAGGGGCCGTAACGGTTTTGAACCATTCTGTACATAATTCCACACTCACACTCATACCTCTATACCCTTAAAAAAGAAGTGTGAAACTGAATTTTTTAAGGTTTTAGCGAGAATCCTGAACTTTCTAAGGTTCTAGATTTGGATACAATTTTCAAAACCTTCTGAAAATTTCCGGAAATCAAAAAGGTTTCTGAAAATTGGGTGTGCGTGTGCGTGAAAAGAAATGAAGATCGGCATCTACATTCACAATCCACATTCCACACCCTACACACATACCTACCCTTGTTTAGTTAGATACTCACCAAATGATAGACGTACTCGTACATCCATAGGGGTACAGTGAAGAGGAAAAAAGCGAGACTTCATCTACTTCAAAGAAAAATTTGAACTACGACTGAAGTACAAGGGAAGTATGAAGTCTCGTTTTTTTCCCTCTTACGAGGTAACAAATGCAAGAGTGAAATCGATTTTAAGTCTGAACTATGTGCATCATGTAGGATTTGGTAAGACTAGAAAAAGCCATAAGGGATAATGGCTGCTATGCTTCTCTTCTCGAATTATGACCGTTTTATAGAGTTTTTTATCCTATGCATATTACCTCAAGGCAAATTGAAAGAAGGAATTTCGAACTGAAATTTTGTCCATAAGTAGGTCTAATGATCCATAGGATGTCCTAAAAATTTCAGGTAAAATGAATGTTTCCTTCTTGAAATATCAAACTTATAAAAATCTCGATTTCTATGAACTGTCGGTGACAGATGACTTTAAATAAAGTTGAATATCTTAAGAACGGATTATTTGTTTTGCCTGAAACTTTCAGGACATCCTATGGATCATTAGGCATGCTTATGGACAAAATTTCAGCTCTAGGTTCCTTCTTTTGATTTGTCTTGAAGTTCTACGCATAGGGTAAAAAACTCAATAAAACGGTCATAACTCGAGAAGAGAAGCCTAGTAATCATGATCCTTTATGACTTTTTCTAGTCTTACCAAAGCCTACATGATGCACATAGTTCAGACTTAAAATCGAACTTACACTTACATATGTTACCTCGTTAGTACAGACGAAGTGGTAAACCGATAGTGATATGGGTATAGCAGTATACCAACTAGAGTGTTAGCATGGTGGTATACATAAGGGGAGATGTACAGTAGTGTAGTCACTGGAGCATATGTATAATAGGAAACGTCAAAAGGTGTAGGTATAGTGGGATATCCACTAGGGTGTTAGCAGTGTCATACACGCACGGTGGTATAGATTGAGTATTATATGCAAAAGATATTAGTATAGCGGTGTACCCATGAGTTTGCAGATATTGTACCCAGTGAAAAATATTTCCTGATTTTAATCAGATTTTTGTGAAACAAAACCAAAATTAGAATCGATTGATAATTTTGATTATTATTCACCATGACTTAACTATTACTTGACATTGTTACTTGCGCAGTGCAACATTTTCTGGTTGAAATTAGATTATTTTGCAGCAAAACCAGGATTATAAATTGATTACTAATAACCATTTTCCTGCAAATAATCTGATTTCAATCGGAAAGTTTCGCATTGCGTATAAGTAACAATGTCAAGTAATAGTTAAGTCAGGGTGAATAATAATCAAAATTATCAATCGATTTTAATTTTGATTTTTTTTCACGAAAATCTGATTAAAATTAGTAAATATTTTTCACTGGGTAGGATATCTATTACAGTAAAGATGTAAACTTATGCCATAAAGTTATAGTTTCGCGAAGATATGGGTGGCAGTTATACCATTCAAATAATGACAGAAAAAATGTTGATTGCGCACAGCATTAGATCAAATATTAGTAAAGTATACGTGTTTATGGTGTAAGAAACTATATACAGGTTTCAAATAAAGTAAAGTGAGCACTTTGATTTATATTGATCGTAATGGAGGAGGATGGAGTTTTGTTAATTCGAACTGTATGATTTTGTATTGCCATAGAAGATTATAGTAGTATGTCTTGTACGAAATTAGTGTGTGAATTAACAGAATATTTCTGAGATGAGAACTTTTCAAGGGATTTCTTCTATTATTTATTATTTTATAGGATCATATAGGATTCTGCTGCATGACCCAATAAGATTATAAAGACTTCGCATTTCATCTTAGGATTTGGTTTTCGAACCTGAGAAAACACATTTATTTATAGATTTGTGTTAAGAAAATTTCATCACTGGAACTAATCGTGTACCTGTCTCGATCATATCAAACGGCCAAATCATATAGACATTGTGTGTATATTATTCCATGACCTTGTTGTACTTTTTTGATTATTCTAAGAAGTTACTCACCACAACGAACTGAACAAATTCGATCGTATGAGGAATATGTTGTGTTGAAGTGCTGCTGATAAGTTTTGGTGTTGTGTATGTGTGGCACGATTTGTTTGCTTTGTTTGATTATTCTTATTTTTTCTTTATTTTCGCAGCAATAAAACCTCATTCATTTTCTCTGATTCGTTATTTTGCGTTGTTCTCTACCTTTTTCTTTTTTCTTCTCAATTCCGTATTCTATTGCAAACGAGTCTACACAAGATACGTATGAGAGATTTCAGAGAACGAAACATGTGCATAAAGTGATATGCTTCAGTGAATTGTGCATGACGAATCTTACAGAAGAAATTTAAAAAAATAAATATGTATACCTGAAAGGATATGAAAAAACAAACTGAAGTAGAAAAAAAAAACGTTGTGTATCTTGAATTTAGCGACGCGTTATACACTCCAAAGAATCAAGACATATTAGTCGTCTGAATAAGACATTTCATTCGTTTAGACAAGATACTTCGAGGAAATTCTGACTGGCTCGTATATTTCTAATTTAGACGCTTCAAGCGTCAACGGATAACCGATTTTAGACACTGGTGCGTCTTATTCGCAATTGGTTAGATGAGTTTGACCAATGAATGAATCATCAAGTATGCATCTTCTCTAGACGCTTCAGTTGGTTCCAGATTTGTAGTCGATAAGAATAAATAATTTAAAGATTGGAAAGAGATTTTCATGACAAAACTTTTGAAAAAAAAAAATTTGCCATAAAAATCTCTTTCCAATCTTTAAATTATATGTTCTTGTCGATTATAAGTCTGGAACCAATCGAAGCATCTAGAAAAAACGAATAAAAGACATTAAAAAATTATGATCTTGCGAATATTGTTGATACCATCAACTTGATGGCATAATTATCCATAAAACAGAAAATAAAGGGTGTGGGTGTGGGTGGGTGACGCGGGAATGTATGCATGAGATGTGATCGAAGAGAAAACACATACCAACACCCTACATCGATCTCTACATCCACAAACACATCCTTTTCACTGCATTCAAGCCAAACAATTATTCGAAATCCACCACATGCATGAAAACCGACAATTCAAACATAATTCTACGGTACGTAACTCATATTTTCTACATGCACCTTATTCGATTATAACAATTCCGTAAACATGTCGTCTGATGGCTTTGAATCTTCTCTTCATAAACTCATCCTCACCCTCAATCTTATCAACCCCAGTGAATCATAGCATCTGTCGAAAAAGAACTCCATATATCCTAAAATCCTTCAATCATTTTTATACTTTTTTCTACTATAAAAACTACATATATTCTAAAGGGTATCCCAACTCGATGTACATAACCGCTTTTTCGACTCATTCTATAAGCCGCTCTCGCAAAAGAGATTCAAGCCTTCTAATGAGATCTTTTAAGCAGAATCAAAATCTAGATCATGACAGCTTTATCTCACCCCACCCTCTATCAAACAAATAAAAAACTATTGTCCCATAGAAATACTGAAAAGCAGCAGAGAATTTTCAGAATTATTGCAGT